GTGTGCTTACATGCAGTGCCAATGTGCCATAGCATGAGTTTTTTTTCTCATCAATCAATATCAACAGGGTTGGCCAGGTACAGTGGTTCATACTCATAATCTCAACGTCTTGGGAGGCTGAAAGGGGAGCATCACTTGAGGCCAGGAGTTCAAGACTAGCCTGGGTAACATAGCAAGAGCCCATTTTTACTAAAATAAAAATAAAAAAATTAGTTGGGTTTGGAAGTATGTCCCAGCTACTTGGGAGCACTTGAGCCAAAGAGTTTGAAGCTGTGGTGAGCTATGATTGTGCTCCAGCCTGAGTGACAGAGTCCCTGTCTCTAAAAACAAACAACCAACCAACCACAAAATAAACAGTGTTCAACTCAGCATATATAATGTGATTTGTTATAAGAGGGTGTGTAAAAACATTTGTAAGGATATAATCACTGTAAAGAGGTGAGAATAAACATAGCATTGACTTGGGTAAAATTTATCACTGAAGCACTTGTTTACATAAACTCCTTTGGTATTTATAAGATTCTCTTTCAGTATCAGTAACCAAGCAGACAAATACTTGGATTTTCCCTTGGCACTCAGTGACCTTCTAATTAGGCCTCCATTGTCTATGATTCCATTTCTTCTATATCTTGTCTCTTTAGCCTCATATCAGCACTTTACTTGTGAAATCTCTTAGAAAAAACTTAATACAATAAATATAATTTTTTGAGTACCTCTTATGTGGTAGGCATTGGGAACAAGAAATATAAAATCAGATACAGGACCCTCATGTAATTTCCAGGTAACCAAGGGTGGAGGACACTAATCAACTATTGACTCAAAGAGTGGCATATGTAATACTAAAAAGAGGCAGAGTGCTAGAGACAGAAGTCATGTTGTGGGGTGTGACCTTGTCATAGAGCTCAAGTGTTCTTGAAAACTGAGTTGAGGTATGGAGAATGTTTGGGAGTTAACTCTACGGAGAAGAGAAGAAAGAAAGAGAAGAAACAGAATTCCAGGAATAGGAAACAAATTCTACCAAGGCATTGTGATACAGCATGAGAGTTTGAATTCCTAACATTAGTCTAACATGATTGTGGTGCTGAGAATTGCCGCTGGTTTGGTGTAGGAAGAGATGGAATAAGTACGCAATAGTTAGAACTCACAGGGACTTCTAGGTTTTGCCATATAGTTTGGTGTTATTCTAAGGAAGATATTGAAGTATTTTAAATAGGAGGTTGTATTGTCAGCATATTACTTTTTAATACGACTCAGGTTGCATGATAGTGAGTGACTGAAATGGAGTAAGAGTTCCATTTCACCCACCAAGACCTTGTCATTGCAGTTATTTCGTATTTTAGTACCTTTGTATTAAGGTCATGAAAGTGGTGACTGAGAGAACGGGACAAACTTGAGAATTATTCAAGAAAAAGAAATCAGCAAGCCTCAGTGACATGAGAGAAGGAGAGGAAGGAGCAGCCTAGAGGTAAGAGAGAGAGGCTGATGACAAGATGACAACTGACTGATAGCTTGCATAATTTTCTTGTGTGGTGTGCCATTTATTGAGATATGAAACACTAGAAGATGGTTCCCTTTGTAGGGAAAGTTAATAAATTATTTTTATATGTCTAGTTTGAAATACCTTTGAGATATTCTATTTGATACATTAAATAGGCAGTGTGGTATATGTGTCTGATGATCAGGGAATGATCTGAGAGAGAGATGTAAATTTGATATGCATTGCTTCATAGGTGGTAACTGGAGCTGAAAGAATGGAAGAGATTAGCTAATTATGGTAAGGGAAGATACACAGAAAATAAAGAAGACTGAAGTTCCAATAGTATAGGCAAAACAAGATTATAATAACTGAATAAAGAAATTAATTCAGATGAAAAATACTTTTCATACCTATTCATTTTTGGTAACATTTTATTTACTCTATCACTCTTACTTCACCCCCGAGAAGTAGGACTAGACCCATTCAAATCATAAATGAACACACACACACACACACGCACGCACACACACACACACACACACACACACACACAAACACAGCTCTGTCGATATACAACTCTCTGGACTTTCCTGTGATCTGAGTTCAAGCCTCATGTAGTGTTTGTCTTTCAGTCAGAAAAATGAAGGCAAACTTTCTGCAGAGTGGATTACAGTTCCCAAACCTACTCTTTATCATCCTCACAATTTCCTGGTACAATATTATTACCAGACACTGGGCACATTTCTTGCTTCAGGTCCATGGTTTTCTGTTGTTTATTGAATACCTATAGGAAGATAGAAAGTAGTTGTCTTCATACCAGCTGGGTGCCGTGGTGTGCACCTGTAGTCCCAACTACTTGGGAGGCTAGACAGGAGAATTGCTTGAGCCTGGGAAGCAAAGGTTACAGTGAGCCAAGATCACACCACTGCACTCCATCCTGAGTGATAGAGTGAGATTCCATCTCAAATAATAATAATAATAATAATAATAAATGGAAATATGCAGAGACTAAAAAGGACCTCAGAAAATATTTTCTAATTTTGTAATGAAAATACGGTTCTTAAAAGAATGTAAACAATACACAACAACATAATAGGTAAAATAATTCTTCTCACTCTGTTTTATTTCTCAAACCTTCACTCCATAGTTAATAGTAAGAATTAGAGGTTAATGATAAAGTATATCTTCTGATTTTTTACGTTTGAAACTTACTTATTGATCACCGTTAGAAATACGTGAACACTTCTATTTTGTGTGATAATCTTCTGCTCTCATACTTTGCACTTGATAATTTCTTTCTTGGATAAAATGATAAAATAAAAAGGCAACAGTGGGCTGGGTGTGGTAGCTCATGCCTGTAATCCCAGCACTTTGGGATGCTAAGGTAGGAGGATCACTTGAGGCCAGGAGCTGAAGCCCAGCCTGGGCAACAAAGCAAGACCCTGTCTCTACAAAAAATTTAAAAAAAAAATTAGCCGGGCATGGTGGTGCATGTCTTCAGTCCCAGCTACTCAGGAGGCTGAGATGGGAGGAAATGGGAGGGACCCTTGAGCACAGGAGGTTGAGGTTGCAGTGAAGCATTATCATGCCACTGTACTCCAGCTTAAGTGACAGAACAAGAGACTCTGTCTCAAAAAAAAAAAAAATACCTTCAGTGGAAAATCTTGTTTCATATATAAATCTTCTGAGTGGATGGAGTCAGCTTTCTTTTGTTTGTCAACTTTCTGTGTGAACCATTTTATATAAATTATTTTTCAGACTGTAAGAGCTAGGAAATTTAGACCTGTTCACTCAGGTCAAGACCAACAATATTGGACAGCACTTTCTTGTGATGTAATAATAGATTAAGCCATAAACAAGCTACAATACAATAAACTCACAAATGAGGGTCAAAGAGCTGTGATCCACCCACGTCCATGACTTTCTTCCAGATGGAGTACTTAAGCTAATCCAGCAAAAGGCTGAAGGATTTAGGGAGTGCTGTAGAAAATTCTAAAGGGAACAGTAAATATTTTATGAAACCACTGACTGATTCTTATTGACAGAAGAAAATATCTTCTATGTGCTCCTTCTATGTGCTTGGCTCTGCACTAGAAGCTGGGAATGAATAGATGAGTAAGACATACTTCATGTTTTCTAATAGATCATAGTGGAGGGACAGACACGTGTTCCAACTACTGCAGTACAACAGGGTGATCCCTAAAGAAGAATTATTAATAGGTATCTTAGCAGATTCTAAGGCCGTGGAGTCAGACTGTCTAATTGGAGTCCTAGCTCCACCATTTACTACATTACATATTTGCATGACGTTTACTTCTGTTTTTCCCAGTCTTTAAAACTCAGGTAAGAACAGTAGCTTAAAGAGATATTATTGTTTTGCTATTAAGTGATATTATTCAGCACTGCTTGGCACGTCCTAAATGTTCAGTATATAAATGTTAGTCGTTATTATTAAATAAAACTATGAAATAATATCTAGAAGCAAGAGAAGTAGTAGGGAAAATGGAAGGAAGAAAGCAACATCTGAACTGATGTGGCATTTATTGCTTACAGCTCCCTCACGTCTCTTTTTCTATAGCAAGCAACCCCTGAGCCAACGTGTACATGGAAAGCCATCAGAAAGTTTGTATTTTCCACTCTACCTTTTGGCTAGGTGTGAAAATATGACTTACCTAATTTCTGACTACTAGAATAGAATGGAAGCAGTTTTTAAAATTGCATTTTAGGCTTTGGGGTACATGTGAAGAACATGCAAGATGGTTGCATAGGTACACACGTGGCAGCGTGATTTTTAAGTTCCAATCATGCCTTTAAAGAGTAGGGACATACCCTTCCATTCATTATTTTCTTCTTTTCCAGCAGTGAAAATGTGAGCATGGCTGTGAACCAAACCAGGACTAGGCAGTCAAGGGCAGCACCCTACTGATGGGAGAACTGAGCAGACACCTTATAGCAGCTCAATTGTGTCAGAGAGACAAACTATTGCATATATTCTAAGACAGGTTTATTCCCCCCGAGTAGTAATGTTTTGGAATCAGAAATGTCGTATCAATGACTTGCAGTAGTTTAATTGACAACTTTATTTTTGCTATCTAATTGATATTAGCGTTACACCTTATAATTGAAAACATCTTAGATTCAGTAAAGGAAGTAAATATTTATCTTGTTTAAGCTACAGTTTCCTTCTCAGTCAGCTGTAGCTGAATTCACTTAGCATACTAAGTGCTATAGCTGTTTGTTGGAAAATGGTAATTAGGCAGACAAAAGAGTTCATGGCTTTCCTCCACTGAATGACCTTTGCACTGTGTTAAAAACAACCAGTCGACGATATTTGCCTGGGTCTATTTTGAGCCTCTTTTTTCAGTTTCACTCATCTGTATATCTCTTCGTTGACAATTCTACCCCAGCTTAACAAACTTAGCTTTATAGTAAGGCGTGAAATTGAATCGTTTAAGTCTTCCATTCTGCTTGCTTTGGGTTTAGCTTGCTCTTCTTTTTCTGTTTGTGTGTGTGTGTGTGTGTGTTTTTCAAGTAGATGCTTGGATTATAAATTCTACATTATCTCTTTTTCACATACAAGCATTCAATATTATACATTTCCCTCTAAACTCTGCCTAAGCTAAAATCCATTAGTTTTGATGTGCTATATTGTTATTTTTATTCAACTCAGAACACATTTAAAAAATTTCCCCTGATTCTTCCTCTCTGGCCTATACATTATTTAAAAGTCTGTTTAATTTATAAATATTTAGGAATTTTCCAAGTATCTTTCTTTTATTAATTTCAAGTTTAATTTTATGTTTTGAGATGTACATTTGTATGATACCTATATTTGTAAATATTTGCAGTTTTTATGTCTCCAAATATGATCTCCACATGCAAGTTTCATGTGCACTTGAAAATAATGCATATTCCCTGTTGTTGGATAGAGATTCCTATAATGTCAATTACATCCGGTTGGTCAATAGTGTTGTTTAGTTCTTCTGTTTCCTATCTTTTTTTTTTTTGTCTATTAGTTTAGTTACTTAAAGAGGTGTTTACATGTCCAGCTGCAACTCTGAATTTGTCCATTTTCCCTTTTAGTTCTGTCATTCTTTGCCTTGGTTCATACACATTTATAATTGACCCTTGTTAAGAACTGTGGGGCCCAGAGAGTGTAATACTATTGGCTGAATAGTACTACTCCAAAATTCATTTGTTGAAGTCCTAACCCAGTATCTCAGAATGTGACTGTATTTGGAGACACAACCTTTAAAGATGTAATTAACTTACAATGAGGCCATTGGGGTGGGCCCTAATCCAATCTGACAATGTCCTTGTAAGAAGAAGAAATTTGGACACACAGAGACATCAGAGATGTACACACATTGAAGAAATGCCATGTGGAGGTACAGCAAAAAGGCAGTCATCTGAAAACCAAGGAAGGATGCCTCAGAAGAAACCAAACCTGCCAACACCTTGATCTTGAACTTCTAGGCTTTAGAATTGTGAAAAATAAAATTCTGTTGCTTAAGCTCCCTACTCTGTGATACTTTACTGAAACAGCCCTAGTATACAACTCCTTTATTTTTATGCAGTATCCCTCTTTATTCCCAGGAGTGTGTCGGTTTTTGTGTGTGTGTCCTTTCATATACCTCTTACTTGTTTGTTGAAAGTTGTACAGCTTCATCTTGTCTAGGACAGTGAAAATTGAGTTAAAATGCTTTCGTACTTGGAAATGAGCACACAGGTCCTTCTCCTGGGTCTTTAATGTGGGGTTTGACTTAATCATTAAGAGTGGGAGCCAGGTGTTGTGGCTCACGCCTGTCATAGCAACTGTTCATGAGGCTGCCATGGGAGGAATGCTTGAGACCAGGAGTTTGAGAACACCCTGTGCAACATAGCAAGATGACCATCTCTTAAGTAAATAATTAAGCAGTGCAGCGGTGCAGGCCCTTCCAGAGACCGGGAGGGGTGGATTCCTTGAGCCCAGGAGTTCAAGTGAACTGTAATCACATCACTGCAGTCAGCCGGGGTGAGACAGAGTGAGATCCTGTCTCTAAAAATACAACCAAAAAAGAGTTGGTTTGGGTTCGTGATTTGTTCTCGCTGTGATTATCCTCACTGTTTCACACACTTTAAATTCCTGTAATGATAGCTGGTGTTGAATATGGAGATTTGTTTGACAGAAGAATGTCTTCCTCATCCTGAGCATTTGAGTTTCTGTTTGCACAGTGCCTTGGAGAGGATTACTTTGCACATTCTTATTCCTCTCCTGTTTCTCTTCCACCAGCATTCTCTTTTGCTTCTTTTCTGAAAATGTTATCTCGGTAGTGCAAGACAGTGAGTGGACAGGGTGATTGCTGTTCTCACTCTGACTCAGTCTTAGGCACTGAGTGAGTGCCGTAATCTTCGTGCTTGGCCTTCTCAGGTCTCTGTTGGCCCAGTGTGTATTCCTGCCCCTCTCACAGGAGTGTATTTTGTGTTTCTGCTTCCTTCTCCCACGTGCAATGATGTTTCCCAGTTCCCTAAGGGCAGTAATGGTTGTTGTCCTTCGTCCCAGCACACACACTTGTTCCATTGTGTAGACAGCAGATAGGGGAGAGGTGCTCTCTGGAATTTCATGCGCCCTCTGTATTATCCCTGTTTTCTGCCCCCCAGGTCTGCATCACAATGGACACGAAGAATTTCTACTTCTTCCCAATCATTTCTGTGAGAAGCTGGTGGAGTTTAGAGAAATAGTCTGGGAGAGGTGGTGGGGTTCCCTAATTTCTGCACACCCCAGGAGCTTCACACTCAGTGCCACCATACACTCAGCCCTAATCCGTCTTTCAGTGATTCAGGCTGAATTCTGAATGGTATCTGGTGTTGGATTTGATTACCCTAAATAAGTGAGGCTGGGTCTCCTCTCTCCCACATGTTCCTGTCACCATAGATTTTGGCCAGCTGGTTGCTCTACAAAGTTCATTCTTCAGTGGATTTGAAAGATGTTGAGAAGTTAATTTGACTATTTTCCATTATAAAAGTGGTAGCGGCATTTCTTTGAGGCATCTGCAACATGGAAATGAAAGCTGTATATCTCCCTTGCTTCTTTTTATGCCTCTTTCCCTGCCCCTCCTTCTCCTTTTTCCTTTATCTTTCTTTATTTTATTTGCCATATGATGACACTTGGATACCTAGATGGACTAAAAATCCTTTTTTTTTTTTTTTTTTGCCATTTTAACTTTACTTTACTTGAGAACTTGAGAATAATTGCTTGAAAATGATTTTACATTTCTTGGAGTAAATGTTCTTCTGTAACATATTTTATCTGTTTTTTACTTTTCTTTTTTGGGAGATGTTTAGAAATGGACATGCTTATGCATAAATCATATACTAATTCTCTTTTTAGGTTCTTCTTTATTCTTGAAAGGGAGCTATTGTGTCTGACTCATACATTATTTAGGGATAATGTGAAGAGGTAAAGCCTAAACTGGAGGAAGTAAGCTTCTGTCACGCCATGTTGTTTTAGACCACCGTTCTCCTAAATCTGGTTTATTATTTGCTGAGAGACATGTTTTTCTGCCTTTTCACATTTTTCCCTTTGATTGTAAGCAGGAGATACATGAGATTCTTAGTGAAGTCATTCATTGCACAATTGCTCCGTGTTGTTATTTATTGTTAATTCCTTTCAGAACGTTCTTTTTAAATTCTTTTGTGTTACTCCCTGCTTCCTCTTTCTTGTTCTTTAAAATTGAGCTCCAGAAGAACAAAGGTCACTTATTAATTTCTAATTTTCTAATTCCATTATTGATTTGGTTCATATTTTGCTGCACCTGAGAGAGTCTTACAGTTTGATATTTGGGGTACCACTAGTTTCACTGAAGATATTAATAGTTTACTTCTCTTTCAGTTTTTCTTATTGTGGATTTCTGTGAAACTCAGGAGGGACTTTTCCCCTCAGATGTCTCAGCAGCTGCCTTTTTCTAAGTTCTTTCAGATGGTTGATGTTCAACCAGGGTTGTAAAGCACTGCTAGTCATAGGGTTTGCAGAAACTGAGCTATTGACATAGATCGTGATTCTAACATACTGAGTCCCATGCTGAGAACCCTTATTTGATATTTCTAATTTAACATGTATATTGACCTTACCACTGAGAAGGTTTAAAGTACTGTCCAACCTTCATTCAGCAAAAGTTTAATTTAAATTAAGCCAGAATTAGCTAAATGTTAGCTCTCCTCTGAAAATACTAAATCTAAGTAAGAGCTCTGTTCTGCATTCTCTTTCTGAGAACTTCATCCTTAATTTCAGCGGCCATGATATCTGGCTAAAGCCTTCATGAGCATTGCAATAAACATAGGTGCTGAAATCATATACTCAGTCTCTTAAATTTTGCAATGGAATCTGCTAAGAAGCCAGGGTCACTTGGAGAGAAGAACTCGGTATAGAACATAAAATGAATTTCCCCTCCTCTTGCCCCGCCAAAAAAAACCTCAAAAGTAATCGTGTAATTCAACAATTTATTTAACTAATATTCGTATAGTTAATAGCACATGAAGTTAAAACTTTTTTTCCACACGGACATTTGCCAGATTTGTAGCACAAAAAATTCGCTGCAAATATGGGGACTGCTGTAATCTCTAAATGTTAAATCTCACCATAGCAGTAATGTCTTGTATCATCATGAGATATGAATTTTTCATGGCACAGTCATTTTGACTTTTGTTCCAAGATTTCTTAGTTTCAGCAATCCAGTAACATTTTCCCTTATGCACCTTCCAGTCTTTGGCGGGACATAATTTTTGAACAGTAGAAAAGTTGAAAGAAACTGGGAGAAAGAAAAATAAGCAATTAAACAAATGTGGAACTGTATCCTAATAACGTATGCTAATTGAAGGGTCTTAAATTGGGTTATATTATGTGCAAAACTTTCTTTGAAAAAAGTATGTTCTTTGTTCCAGGGTAGATTTGGAAAAAAAAAAGATGAATTGAAATCATGTGTATATTCATTCACTCATTCATCCTTTTTTCATTTAATTTATTCTTTTAAAAATATATCATGTGTTCTATCAGCCAGGAAATGCACCAGAAACAAGGATAAAACAATGAACATCCAAGCCTCAAGGAACTAAAAACTTTAAAGGGAAAATAGAAATTAAAAATTTTAGTTGTCCACTAACACATCAGAAATTTAGGGAGTTTATATGACACTAGAGTAGTCATTCATAAGCAATATTTGTGCTGTAGATGGTACCCCAAAATCAAATATGTTCATCTCTACAATCATACAAAAGGATCTTGACATCTAAAAATGTACTCTTACTGCCTTCATAATTTATAATATTTCCCAGCAAATTTAGATGAGGATACAGGGTATTCTAGATATACCAATAATTTAGTATTCCTGTAAATAAATATTCGTTACATACACAGACACACACATGACCTGAAGCCATTGAAGAGTAAACAAAGCCAGACAGATCCTGGAGGGGAGATGACACTTCAAAGAAGGTATGGCAGGGCAAAAGTTAATCATTTTTACAATCGTTAGCCTTAGGCCAATCTTAGTCCTATGTAGAGTGAGTAAAATGTCAATAAAAAACCTGCAGCCTTTTTTTTTTTTTTTTTGAGACAGAGTCTCGCTCTGTCACCAGACTGGAGTATAGTAGCATGATCTCGACTCACTGCAACCTCTGCCTCCCGGGTTGAAGTGATTCTCCTGCATCAGCCTACCCCAGAGTAGCTGGGGCTACAGGTGTCTGCCACCACACCTAGCTATTTTTTTGTATTTTAGTACAGGCAGAGTTTCACCATGTTAGTCAGAATGGTCTCCATCTCCTGACCTTGTGATCTGCCTCCCAAAGTGCTGGGATTATAGGCATAAGCCACTGTGCCCCAATAATGGAGAATAGAGTTAGGAGGAACCACCGATGCTGAAAATGAAGAATCAATTCTATAAAATCAAAAACATGGAGGAGATGCTCTTAACTTCTGTGTATAATTTTTTCCCCTAAATCTCTGACTGATGCAAGCACAAGCCAGGTTACGGTAAGAATGAGAGAATTGGACTGAGGTTTGACCTGCTGCCCCAAAAATAGAGATTTAAATTTAAGTCCAACTACACCAGCTGCTTGCTAAGGAAGGAAAACTGGCCGAGTGCAGTGGCTCGCGTCTGTAATCCCAACGCTTTGGAAGGCTGAGGGGAGCAGATTGCTTGAGGCCAGTTTGAGACCAATCTGGCCAACATGGCAAAATCCCATCAAAAATACAAAAAATTAGCTGGTCATGGTGGTGCACACCTGTAACCCCAGCTACTCAGGAGGCTGACACATGAAACTTGCTTGAGCCTGGGAGGTAAAGGTTGAAGTGAGCCAAGATCATGACACTGCACTTCAGCCTGGGTGACAGAGCAACTCCATAAAAAAAAAAGAGAGAGAGAGAGAAAAAGAAGAAAAAGGAAGAAAGAAAGAAAAAGAAAGAAAGAAAGAAAGAAAGACAGACAGACAACACTTTTTTGGAGAAATATATGAGAAAAGAGAGACTTCTCAATATAACTTTTACAATGTATGCTGTATAATCTCAAGTGACTTACATGAAAAACCAGAAAAATATGACCAAATCTAAAGGAAAGAGCCATCAATGCAGCCCAATATAAGGATGATGCAGAAGTTGGAAGTATCAGGAAAATATTTTAAAGCACCTGTTAAAACGGTGCTTAATGACGTGATAGAAAACATGCTTGCAAACAATGAAAAAAATAGGATGCCTCAGCAAAGAAGGGCAGTAGGAAAAAAAGAGCCAAATGAAATTTAGAACTGAGAAATAAAGTAAAATATTTTGTATAAAAACCATTACTGGGTATACTTAAAAGCAAGGATTTAACAGAAAAACAAGTTAGTGGACTTGAAATTGTCCAATATGAAGAAAAATGTTGGAAAACCTTCAGAGCTTCAAGGACTTGTGGAGTATTATTAAAACATATGACATGCATAGAATTGAAGTCCCAAAACTCAAGAGAAGAGAAAGAATAAGGCCAAACAAATTGAAGATATAATGATTGCATTTTTTTCCAAATTGTTTAAATCCATAAATTTACACTTTCAAGAAAATCAGCAAACCCTAAGCAAGGTAAATACAAAGAAATTTGTATGTATGAATAAAATAGCCAAACTCCTTAAAAGTCAAAGATAAAAATCTTGAAAGCAGTTTTTGTGCATTACCTGCAGGAAAACAATTATGCAAAAATTCCTCATACTCATTATAAACCATGGGGGCTAGAATACAGTAAAAAAATCTTTAAATTGTCAAAAGAAATAGTAACTGTCCACAAAGTATTTGATATCCAGTGAAAAATATTCCAAAGATTGTGGGAAATTTAAGGCATTTTCAGTCAACCAAAAGAATCCCTTGACAGCAGATAGTCACTATAGCTAATGTTAAAGGAAGTTTTTCAGGCTGTTGGGTAATGTTTCCAAGTGATAAATATTCAGGGAAGAAGAGCGTCAAAAATGGCAAACATCTAGATAAACATAAAAGTGAAAGGTAAGCAACATAGCTTCAAAAGACCTTTGGTCTTGCTTACAAATTATGTTCATACTGTTGCCCAGTTTACAAAGTTCTTTCTTAGACTGATGTAATGCACCTAAATCAAACTCTTTCTGAATAAGTGTACAGTTATTGTGAAAGGTAGAGCAGCTATGTAGCTGAAATATTTTAGGACATATTTAATAAAAACTATTAAAAAAACACTACATTTTCATTTCTCTGATAGTCCAGATAGCTTGAAGCAGTGTTTCACAACCATTTTTATAACATAGATATAAAAAATAGATTTCTAAAGTAAAACAAGATAAATAAATAATAGTTTATTTATAGTCTATCAAATAGCAACCTGGATTTGTATAGCTGAGGAACTTCAAGGCATAAAAATATTAAGTTAGGGCATGCAAAGAAATAACTTTGGGAAAAAGCACACTGTTATTTGAAAATGTTTTCACTACAAGACAATTATAGCCTGTAATAATCAGGTTAAACATATTGCTTTTCTTGTAAGAAATGAGGAAATCGCTAAAGGAAGGCACTTAGCTAGAAGCAGAACGGGGAGCAACATTTGGGTAAATGAGTTCAAAGGCAAAGTGTCCCTTCAGGGTAATAACCTATATATTGGTGCTGGGATTCTAAGGCCAAGCTCTGGGTTTACTGGAAGTTGATAGAAGAAATCTGAGACTTTCATCAGCCTGAAAGCTTGAAAAGGGCCTCCAGACATCCAAATCATTAGCTACACCCTGCCTTCTTACAGATGACAATGCAATTAATCTCTGGAAGAAATCATCTTTAAGTTTTCCTTATGAATCCCATTAATGGAGCTCAACCAAATTAAAAAAAAATGTCAAATACTTCAGGAAACAAGCCAACATATCAACAGGAAATATGAAGAATGAATTTGGTCACCAAGGACTTTAGATGTTTAAATAATCCTATGTATTATAAATAATAATATTTAGATGATTTTAAGAAATAAAAGAAGAAATAAAAACTGATCACACAGCAAAAAAACCCACCAAAAGCTAATAAGTTTGAAAATATATCCTTAGAAACAAAAACTGTTATCGTTGAAATTAGAAACTCAGTGAATGAGAGCAGATTAGACACAGGAAAAGGGATAATTTGTGAATAGAAAGGTATATCTGAAAATATTGCTAAGAATTCAGCACAAACTGCAAGGACAAGATGTGAAGTTAGGTGAAACAGAGGATAGAAAGCAAAGGCCCACACTGCACGTCTAATTTGAGTCCCAGAAAGAAAATAAAGAGAAAGTAGAGAAAGAATTTGGAATGATGGTTGAATAGCTCAACTAAGTTTTACTTTACATATTTTAAGTCTATTTTGCTTTTTTAAGATCAAACACATTTAGATTTGGTGTACTTTCCTAATGAATTGAAAGTAGAACATTAGGAGAGGTGCCTTATACATTTGTAACAATAGAATGAGGATAAGAAAACAGATCTGGAAGCATTTAAAGCCAGAGCTTTATTTATTATCTTCCTGTGTTGCAGGTATAAGGACTATAAGAAAGTGCTTTTGCTTTGGGGATACCGTATCTCACAAAGTTAAGAAAAATATTATGTTATATGAGATAGTTTTTAGATTGTAGTGGGGGGGGGCTAGTTAATAATTTAGCCATAGTGAATTAGTCATTCTAATAGAATTGTTTCAGGATGTTATAAAAAGATGTAATGTTTCAGTACAGAATTAAAATGTAAATTAAAAAATTAAAATCAAATAATCTAAGAAAATATAAAGGCCATCTAATGACATTTAAAAGTATGCAAATACATTCACATGAGATAGCAAAAGAAAGACTAACAAAATCACAATTTAAATGTTTTAATATGTAATAACATTAAAAAATTGAAAAACTGTCTTCAATGAACACGAATTTTAAGAGGAAAGAAATTTAAACCCCAACCTGTACTTGTGCATACCCCAATAAAGAATAAAATACAATTATTTCAATGAAATACTTTTAAATTCATTTAAAACTCATTGTATAAGATCATTTGTCTCATTTTGCCTTGGTCCTTTATATATTAATATTTTTATCATAATTAAAACGAGTCCATGAAAAGCAGTGATTGAAATCATCCCTCTATCGTGATAGAGGTTTCTCCTCTATTCAGATATCTTCAAAGAAAATCAAGACTACTGTTCATGCTTGGTTACTCAGGAATTTGGCAATACAAAATAATATTACCTACTGAGGTGATTTTTCCAGATTTATTTTCCCCAGTACAGTTTTTCTCTTTGGTTCATTATCCAATATTAAAT